TCATGAATAAAGAAAAAAATAGATAGATGATAGATGATAGATAGATAGATAGATAGATAGATAGATAGATAGATAGATAGATATAGAATGCTCATGGCCTCAGCGAGAAAGTGCTTTCTCCCTCAGCAGACTTGAAGGAAGTGAGGGAGTTAACTCTCTCCATATTTGGAAAAAGAACATTTTAGGCACTGAAACATCCCCAAGATGCTAAGGCAGAAGCGTGGCTGGTGTATGGCCAGGCAAGATGTAAGGAACTTCTTCAGAAGCAATTGCAGTAATCCAGGCAAGAAATGAAGGTATTGTAGACTTGGCTCACTCACAGTGGAGGTGGTAAGCAGTCAGATTTGGATACATTTTGCAGGTACAGCCAATAAATTTTCCTAAATTAATGGGAAATTCCATTCAGATTTGGATATATTGAGTTTGAGGTGTCTATTAGACATCTATAGCATCTCAGATCCTTTTGGTCTCCTTGCCTGTGGGGCCTTTGGCCTCTTATTCTGTCCCTATTGCCATAGCCAACACACCTCAGGCCATAATCACCCGATAGTGCTTTGCTTCATGTTCAGGCCCATACAAAATGGAAGTATCTGAATTTGGGGGAGGAGAGTGGTGTTAGCATCCATCCCATTAACTGAATCTTGACCTCTTCCCCTGACTCACTTCTTTTCCCTATCCTCATTTCCCAGGGATTATATTCCCTAATAAAATAACAGCACAGAAGTGTATGCCTCAGGTCTGCTTCCTGGGGGATGCCAGGCTAAGACAATAACCAAGTCAAGGTGTGCGTAGGTACTTGTTTAAATGAGCCTGGAGTTTGGGAGAGTGATTTGTGGGGAAGGTATAATTTTGAAAGTTGTCAGCATACACCTAGTATTTACAACCATGAGACTGGATGAGAGCACAAATAAGCGGACAAAAAGAAATGGCAGAAAGAGGAGAGGTTGAAGATTTTAGTACCTTTGAGACAGAAGCAATGTTTTATTCACTACTCTAGCCCATTTCTAAAAGTGCATGGCACAAAGTAGGTGTTTAACAGATACTTTTAGAATAAATGAAATAGGTCACCATGGCTTTGGGCTTAGGTAGGAAAGCAAATTAAGTCATGAGAGGTGATGAACTAGAATAGGCAGCGTTCATGGAACTTGAGTTTGTAGTGAGAATGATAATTAGGTTCAACAGCAGAAGCAAGAGAGAAAAATAACAGGAAAAGGAAAAGGAAGCCGTGGTTAGAGAGAAGCTCTCAGATACCACTTTCTCCTTGAAGCCTTTTATAATCAACTTGAGATCTTCCCCCTTTTCTGGATCTCGCTCAGGGCACTTATCTATCATAAACTAAGTCAAGTTAAATCCATGTGCTATTCTCTACTTTTCCCAATATTGATCATATTTTCCAGGGGTATAATTGAGTCAAAAATAAAGGTAGCTTCCAAGTCCCAGAGACAAAAAATGGATGCTGAAAGTTTGACATTTCTAGTTCATTTTCATGGTTCATGGAGATGCTAGAGAAGACTAGATGAAATTGAGAGACTCGATTTCAAATCTGGAATATATCCAAAATGTTCAGTAAAATAACTTGCACTTGGATGAATGGATGATTGAATGAATGAGTAAATGAACAAAATTAGGTGAGAACAGAAGCCAAGAGAGGAGAACTCAAGGAAAATACAGGCTTTAATAACTGTCGGAGGCCCATAGGTCTGACGACAGGGCACAAGGGAATAAGGAAAGTGGGCCTACAGTCAGAACGCACCTAGGAAATTAGCAAAGTAAGATATGAAGAGATAGGGCCTAACTGAAGGTCATCATGAACAGACAGGAAGAATGTGAGGAATTATGAAATAAAAAATTACTATTTTGGTGGGTGATAAAAATAGGCTATGAGTAAATAATTCCAAGAATTTGGTATCATGTATAGGGTAAGAAGAAGAGCAAGTTGATAATCTCAATTTTGAAATGCATTTGACACAAGGGTGAGATATGCAACAAAAGCTAGTAATAGGCAACATTTTAATCAACTTATTACATGCCAAACATTGTTCCAAGAACACATTCCATCAATGGTCTCATTTAATTATCACAGTAACACGATGATGTAAGTGCTATTATCATCTTTATTTTGCATATGGGAAAACTGAGAGACAAGATTGGACAATTTGCCTAGTGTCACATAGTAAGTGGCTAAACCAGGGTTTGAATACCAAGATATTAAGGAACTTTGCCCAGGACCAGATGTATTCATTATTTATTCAATAAATATTTAACAGGCACTGCTACATTCTAGAAATTGTTGCTGGTGCTACGAATGGGAAAGGAGGGGAAGAGCTGGTGGTGAACAAGACAGACATAATCCCTACCTGCACAGACCTTAAATGTATGTATGGTGAGTCAGAAAAGAATGTGAGAAATTACAGTTTGGTAGGGGGAGTGGATAGCAAAAAAGAATTCCAGAGGAGGAGAACCACATCTGTAAGTACCTTGAGATGAGAGCCTACAGTAGGGGGGAAAAGACAGAGAGAGAAAAGAGCCTAGAAAAAATAAAAAGACTAATATGGCTGGAGTGCTGAGAGCTAGGAGGACGGTTGGGGAAGCTGGGGAGAACGAGAAGCCCATATGGTAGAGGGTCTGGTGTCCATGATAAGGAGCTTGGACTGTTTTTGGTAAGCAAAGGGAAGCCATTAAGAATTCAAGCAGAGTAGTGACTTGATCAGATTTATATTTAAAAAAAAAATGACTCTGGCTACAGCATGGCAAAAGCAGTTCTGTTAGACCAAGATGATAGTCATTGCAGGACTTCAAATGATGAAGGTTGATTATACTAGAGTATGAAAAGTAGCCATAGGAAAGGAGAGGCCACAAATCAAATTTTTTATTTTTATTTTATTTATTTATTATTATTATTTTTTTAATTTTAAAGATTTTATTTATTTATTTGACAGAGAGAGGTAGAGACACAGCGAGAGAGGGAACACAAGCAGGGGGAGTGGGAGAGGGAGAAGCAGGCTTCCCACCGAGCAGGGAGCCCGATGCGGGGCTCGATCCCAGGACCCTGGGATCATGACCTGAGCCGAAGGCAGACGCTTAATGACTGAGCCACCCAGGCGCCCCACAAATTTTTTATTTTTTAAAATATTTTATTTATTTATTTTAGAGTGAGAGTGTCGGGGGGGAGGGGGGCAGAGGGAGAGGGAGAGAATCTCAAGCAGACTCAGCACTGAGCATGGAGCCCAATGCTAGGCTTGATCCCCATGACTCTGAGATCATGACCTGAGCCAAAATCAAGAGTCGGACATTTAACTCACTGAGCCACCCTAGGCACCCCACAAATCCAATTTTTTAAGGCAGACAAGTCTAGGTGATTCGGATGTGTGTCAGAAGTATCTTAAGTTTCTGGCTTGAACTGAGTAGATTGATAGGATGCCCCTTACTGATCCAAGGGCTATGAGAAGAGGATTTTGGAGGGAATATGATAGATAGGTTGAGTTTGACATGGCCCAGTCATCCAAATGAAAGTGTTGCAAAGCCAGTTAGAAATACGAATTCAGAGTTCAAAAGCAAGATCTAGGCTTGAGGTATGGGTTGGACAGTCTTTGGCAGAGGGTACCTGAAGCTGCTGGACGAGGATGAGACCACCCAGAAAAGTGTACATGAGGGCTCAGCTCTGGAGGATTCCAATATTCCAATACCAGAGAAGCTGCTTGTTAAAGAACAGAGAAATAAGAGGAAAACTGAAATAAGAGCAGAGGGAAGAGAATATTTAAATAAGGGTGTGGTCAGTAGTTGCAAATGCTAGAATGAGGTCTTGTAAGATGAGGACTGAAGGTGACAATTCAGAGCTGCTTCAGGTGAGTGGTAGGAACCGAAGCTAGACTGGAGAGGGCAGAGGAATGGGACACGTGAGAATGTCCACTGGGTAAGACACAACTGCAGTCATAGCTGGACAAAGATTTAGAGAGAAATATTTTTAAATAAATGAGAGACTTGAGCACGCTCAAGTAATAAAAAAGCCAGCAGTGGAGGAAGGGTTGAATATAACAGAAGCAAAGAGGGATCCTCTTCAGCCCCAAGTCCCTGAGAAAGCAGAAAGGGACCTAGTGTACCAGGAAGAGCAACTCTTCTTTGTCACAGGAAGCCAATAAGGGGTGCGGCTCAGTCAGATGTGAACCCACTCGGTCCTCTCGGTCGGCTTCCTAAAGATAGGTTTGCTTTAAAAGGACAGAGAATTATAAGACATGAGGGCCCGGGGAGAGGACTGCAAAGTTCAATAAAAAGAAGAAGAAAGAGTCAGAAACGTGGCCTTGAGCGACCTCTGAGAAAGCCGTTCAGTAGTCGAGGGAACGTTAGTCACACTGTCGGGTTTGGAGTGGGAGTGGGTGGTGAAGAAAAGGGCGCAGTGGGTGCAAACCACTGCGGTAAGAAACGGCCGTGAGAAGACAGCGACCCGGGAGGTTGCCAGAAAAAAAAGGCGGGCAGGTGGGGGGAGAGGGGGGTCATATGTCAGAGTGTCCCAGAGCAACCTCGGTCAGGACGGGTCATTGCTCGGAGGCCCCCGAAGACCGAACAGGTCATCCACGGCCTGGCTGCTGGGCTGCACTCGGCGAGGTGCCACAAATGCCGGGGCCTCCGCCCCAACCCCCGCCGCCCCCGAGATCGAACAGCTGGGCGGGCGGCCTCCGGGTCTCTCCGCGGACTCTCGGAGAGGAGAGGCCGCGGGCCCGGCAAACCCTTCCCACCCGGGCGCCACAACTCCGGGGCAGCGCAGGGGGCCCTCGTCCCGGCACCCGGCCCAGACCCCCGCCGGGCCCCAGGCTTCCGGGCGTTTGCAGAGCCTCCGCCGCGCTTCCTCCCGGCTCGCCCGACTCCGGCACTCAGCCGCGTCCCGGACCCGGCGGCGCGTCGGCCGAGTCCCCGCAGCGTTTGAAAGTTCCCGGCGCCGGCGGCGCTCAGGCGCCAGGGCTCAGGCCCGGCCCGCCGCAGCCGCCCTAGAGCCCGCCGCTTACCGCCGCAGAGGCAGGCAGGTGCGGCGGTTTCCACGGAGCCGTCGACACCCCTAGGGAATTCCCCACGGGGCCACACGCAAACCCGCCTTCCTCCTGCAGACTGCCGCCGCCGGGTTTTAACCGCCGAAACGGCGAGGTGGGGCTCAGACCACTCCACCCCCGCCCGTCCCTTCCCACCTTAGCCACCACCCCACTCCCCGCGGAACGCCTTCGCCTTGGCCGAAGGAGCCCGAAGGCCTTCGGCAAGTTCCGCCTCCAGCGCGGGGGGCGGGGCCGCTCGAGCTCCTCCGGGCCGAGCTCGGCTGTTTCCGTGCGCGGCCGCTGCGCACTCGGCACTGGGCGGCGCTGGCTGGCTCCCTGGCTGCGGCTCCTCAGTCGGCGGCGGCTGCTGCTGCCTGTGGCCCGGGCGGCTGGGAGAAGCGGAGTGTTGGTGAGTGACGCGGCGGAGGTGTAGTTTGACGCGGTGTGTTACGTGGGGGAGAGAATAAAACTCCAGCGAGATCCGGGCCGCGAACGAAAGCAGTGACGGAGGAGCTTGTACCACCGGTAAGAGGAGCAGGAGGAGGAGGCAGGAGCCGGAGAGAGCCGGGGGGACGGAGGGGGGACGGGGAGGCGCCGGACACCCGCGCTCGGGGCCTTCCCCTCGCAGGAGGGGCCGCAGTAAAGATGGAGCCTCCGCCCGAGCCCCACAACATCGCCGCCGCTCGCAGCGAACAAAGAATAATGGCGGCGGACTGGAGCCAGCGGCGGCCGGGGCGGCAGCGACTCTGCCTGCAGCCAGCGGCGGCGCTCATGGCGGGGGGCGGCGGGCGGCGGGCGGCGGGCGGGGTGGGAGCCGGCGGCCGGGGGTGTGTGCGGGCGGCCGGCCGCGGCGAGCTGGCGCCCGCGTTCCCGCCGCCGCCGCCGCCACCGCCGGGCCGGGCCGGGCGCGGAGCCGGGAGCCGGGAGCCGCCCCGGGGGAGGCCGCCCGCCGCCCGCCTGGCCCGGCGCTGCCCCCCGCGCCGCCCGTCCGCTCGGCCGGCCCCCGCCACCCGCCACCCGCCTCGCCCCCGGCCCGGCCCGACCTGGCCCCGCCGTCCGCCGGGGCAGCGCCGCCGGGGTGCCCGCGGGGGGTGGAGGAGGAAGAAGGCGACAGTTGAGGGCCGAGGAGGTGAAGGTGCCTGCCTTCCCGGTAGCCTCGGTGTCTGCCATGCCCGCTTCGGGAGGGGAAGCGCTGCAACGTCTGACCTGCTCTTCTCTCCACTCTCTTTGTGCAATAAAGTTCGAAACCAAAGGTTTCCTCTCGTACTGTATTTTATTCATGCCCTTTTCCCGCTCCCACCCCATTGGGGAGATACTGTTTTCTGTTCTTTTCTGCTTAGTTGACATAATGAGAGCCGTGCTTTTTAATATAATTTTGACTCTACCTCACTCCTTTTTTAAGGCAGTAGTCATGGAAATGCGTTCTTGGGGAGGAAGGGGGTGCTAAGAAAAACATTTGTAAAACTTTTCAAAAAACTGTTGGGATCCTGTAAAAGGGAAGCTGGTGTTTGAAAAACAGTTTCGGTTTTAACCCTTTTCAATAAGGTAATAATCCTTGAGGTCTATCATTCTGAAACACTTTGTTGAAACGAACATTAGCCGATGCACTTTTGTTTTACATCACTTTTTTGCGGGGGGGGTAACCGAGTTTGGGTCCTCTGGATCTCCCACCCCCTACCAAGTTTCCCACATGTTTCTGTCTAAACTTAAATAAGAGATTGATTAATACTAATGCTAAAAATAGACGTTTAGAAGTATCCAGTGTTTGCCTCCCGTGCAACAGTAACTCCGGCCGGGGAACGACAACAGTTTAAGCCACAAGGCTTATTTTTTCTTTGCCTGTTGGGAAAAAGGAACGGCAGAAAAGTCACTGACACATTAAAGATTAAAAGACAGTTTTGAAAGGACCTGGAATATGACCTATTTAAGTTCGTGATACCTTCCTAAGAAGTTAGAATTTTATCCTAGCCTTAGCTTGCATCAGTTCTGCCTTCTAAAGGTTTGGTGTAAAAGATACTTTGGTTGCCAGCTATTGAAATCTTTTTACACTCACGGCTCATTTCCTGCTTTAAAAATAAAGCCAAAACGGTTATTTTAGGTGGTGCAGAAAATGAACAAGTTGTTCTAGAAATACTTACTGTCATAGTAGGATAGCATTGTGATTGATACATACAAGGTTTCTTCTTAAGAATAAATACTGATTGGTAATAGAAGCGCTGTCTTTGATTTTTCTGTATCCAAGTCACTTTTTCAAAACCCACTTCACTCTATTGTAAGTCTTAAAAAAAATACACACACACATTAGCAGTATGTCACTGCTGAGAAAATTTAAGATGCAGTAAAGTGTTTTTACATAAGGATTGGGGAGGTGATTTTATTTACAAACACTGAAGTAATTATAGTGTTGATGATGCCATAGATTTGTTTTTCCTTAAGATTTTCTGCAGGCCGGCATCAGTTGAGTAGAATATTTTTCCCTTACAGAGAATGTAGGACAGTGACTCTTTCTTTGTGAATTAAAAGGAAAAAAAAAAGTTTTCTGATGGATTTTTTCTTGTCTTAGCCAAAAGATCTTTTTAATTTTGTTTTATTCATAGATTCATAATCTGTAATTCTTAGAAATTCCAAGTGGAATGTTTCAGACTTTTATATGCATTAATATTTGAATGTTCACTTGGACCATGGTTATAAGTTATACTTAGGTCACTTCTCAGGGATCAGTAAAAATTACAGTTAAATCTGTCTGTACTTTTTTTTTAAATGGATACATTATTCAGAAAGCGAATAAATCTTTGACTCAGACTGAAAACTGTTAAAAGGCCACTTCTTGTGGAACTTAAAACTCTGGTGTTACCCCTTTTTGAATGATTTTTTCCCCCCATGTAAGAACCTAAGGAAACTTAGAAGCCTGATTCATAAAATGGTACCTTCCTTTTCCTGCTTTCTGAAATTCATTTTCTTGATTATATCTGATTAATAGAAATTTTCATTTTTGTAGACAATTAGCTTTATCTTTCATTCTAAGGCATTGGGTTTTATTTTTTGGATATAATATGGTTATAGTAAAACCATGTATGTCCCACTTCACCTTATTTTAAAAGTTTTGTTCGTTTTTTTTCACAGTAGAAAAAAATGTAACATAATGGCTTCCAGTGTATCGCTGAAATTTATAATACCATTTATTCCATAAAATAATTTATCAGATATGGTTATATAGACTTGCTTACAGCAGCCTGTGTCAGAGTCTTACAGGCATGTGTTTCTTGATGTAGTGTCACTTCCAGTGATGGCTTCTTTATTGGATAGTTAGAGCTCAAATTTGAATTTAAGAATATACTAGATAATCCGGGAATGGAAAAAATGCAAGTATTATTTTTCCTTACTCATGTGTGAACTCCTCTCTACTGCAGAATCACTTGAGGCAATAGTTCGTGGTAGTTCAAATATTTAGTTAGCATTTACCGTGACCGAGAATGTAGTTAGTGGAAAGAGCATTGGGTTTGGACTCATAGGCCTGGGCTTCATTCCTGCTGTTGGCCACTACTATCATGTGCCTACCCTCAAGAAATTTGTGACTTACAGAAGTTTATTAATCTTTCAACTTGGTTTCCTTATCTGTTAAATTAGACTACCACCTACTTTATAGGGCTGCGAGATAATTATAAAGTTCCTCCTTAGGGACTCAATGATAGCTATTCATTTTAAAGCTTTATTATAACTTCCTGGCTGTGGGACCTTCAGCAGATTTCTTCTCCATTCCTCAATTTCCTTGGTCACAAATGTACTATATTTACCTAATAGAAATGTGGGTGTTACATAAGTTAATACATATTAAATGCCTAACGTTTCACAAGTGCTCCACAAACCTTTCCTATAATTTTAAATATTATTCATTATTATTACTACATTTAATACACACAGCCAGAAGCTGCAAGAAATCCAAAGATGAATTACACTGGTTTATCTCTACCCTCAAGGAACTTTTGGGACACGATGACTAATAAGGCAGAATATATGTTATAAGAAAGCAATCAAAAGAGAAATCACCCTTGGTGAAGTAATGGAAGAAAGGAAGATTATATATTTATATTTCCAATTTTATTTTTTTAATAAGTAATTCATTCAGGTAGTCCATAATTCAAAACATATAAAATGTAATAGAGCAGTCAGTCATGTGATACACCCTCCTGCTCATTCCCATTGCCCAAGTGTTACCAATTTCTTTTTTGTCCTTTCAGAGGTAATTCTATCCATATAAAAGCAAATACTTTATGTATTCCCCACCCCCTGCCCCACACTTTTTTTTTTTAACAAATGATAGTATACTATATACACTATTCTATATCTTGCTTTTTTTCACCTAATATGGCTTAGCCATTGGTTTATATCAGTACATAAAGAGCTTCCTTTTTTTTTTTTTAAAAAAATGAGGCATCTCATTGTATGGGTGTACCTGTATTTATTAACCAGTTAGTAAGCTGATTTTATTTTTAGGTCTTGTATGACCTTTTAAGCTAAGGGAATCTGTCATTATGCCTTTATTTCTTTAAATGAAAGACATTTCCTTTGAATGAGAAATACCAGTTTCTAACAGGAAGTGGTTATTTGAACTGCCTTACTACCTTTTTAGCTCTAGTTTTTAAAGTTTTAGTGAAATGACCCAGATGTACATGAAAAGGCAAATTATGTAAGAGTTAACTCACAAAGTGAGTTCAGTCTGAATTTAACTCTTTTGTTGAGATTCTTATACCCTGAACAGTCTTCCATTATTGCCGCCAAAAAAGTGTCAGTAGTTTTTTCTTCTAAATGAGAAAGAACATCTCATGTAGTCCAGTCTTTTTTTTTAAGCAGACTATTCTCATGTGATCTTACTACTCAGTAATGCTGGTTAGGGTGATAGCTTTTTCCCGGTGGTTTCTGTTTTTTTTCTTTCTTCTCATTAACTTTTTCTTTGATGATATTCCTGTATTTCTTAGTGTAATTATCAGTGAGTTTTTATATTAGATACCTAGGTAAATAGCAATAAATAATAACTAATAATATATAAATAGCAAGAAATAAATGAGTTTCACCTATATGCTTGTCTACTTGGACTTTACTGCTTAGATGATTTTGTGGTGTGTGTGTGTGTGTGCGCGCGCGCGGC